ACTTGTGGGCTTGGGCAGCATTGGGTTGGGATGTTTTCGTGATGCACATTTTCTTCACATAAAACTCTCTCTTATACATGAGTTGCTGTGGATTTGTTTCTCCAAAGTACCCAGACTAATACAACAAGCTACCACAAAACATATAGTAACATTCAGGTCTTAACAGAATTACACACATGTATATATGCATGTACACACACTCACTTTTAAACCTTCAAAAATGACTTCTGCAAGTTGGGAAATATTTATATAAATGGATATATAAGTAATAAAGATTCTAAATGCAATGAATAAAGTAAAATTTTATGGATCCCACCAATAAATCCACCCAGCCCTTAAAAGCAAACTCTCCCTAGAATAATTTAATACAAAGTATAAGAAAGATGTCCAAGGATCCCTGGTGGCATAGTGAATTACAAATTTGGCTGCTAACTGCAAAGTCGGCAATTTGAAACCATCAGCCACTCAGTGGGAGAAAGATGAGGCTCCCTGCTCCTGTATAGATTTATAGCTCAGAAATCCAAAAGGAGAGTTCTCAGAGACCATATGGTTGGCCCCACTATGAGACATGACATCCCTCAGTGACCCATTGCCCTACAGGGGACAACACTGGAGACACAGTGGAAATTCCGCCTGATCTGATCCCACCACACCGAGGCAAAACACTAAGGGCGTGCAACAGAACAGCAAGGGGTACAGAGCAACTAAGTCTCGAGGGCATACCAAAAATAGATTTGGGGGCCAGGGCTTGGCACCCCATCAGACTCAACCAGAAAACACTCTTAAAGGCAAACAAACAGTCCTTGAACTAACTACAAGCTTTTCTTTTTTGTTGTTGTGCTTTTTGTTTTGTTTTTGTCATTGGCTTTTTGTTGTTGTTTTGTTTTCTGTTGTTGCTTGGTTTTGCTCTGTCTTGTTTTTGTGCATGTTATTATCTAAATAAGATAGGCTTGATGAACAATCTGGAGGAGAAAACAATGGAACCGACAGTTCCGGGGGGACACGGGAGAGGGTGAAGTGGAGGGAAAGGAAGAGGTGTTAACGAACCCAAGGACAAGGGAACAACAAATGTTCCAAATCGGTGGTGAGGAGGGTGTAGGAGGCCTGGTAGGGCATGATCAAGGGTAAAGTAACCGAGAGGAATTACTGAAACCCAAACGAAGGCTGAGCATGAGAGTGGGACAGGAGGAAAGTAAAAGGAAATAGAGGAAAGAGCTAGGAGCAAAGGGCATTTCTAGAGGTCTAAAAAAAGGCATGTATATATGTAAATATATTTATATATGCGAATGAGGAAATAGATCTATGTGCATATATTGAGAGGTCTAGTACTAAGGTAGCAGATGAACATTGGGCCTCCACTCAAATACTCCCTCAATGCAAGAATACTTTCTTCTATTAAACTGGCATTCCATGATGCTCAGCTTCCCAACACAATCACTGAAGACAAATGGGTGCATAA